TCGCCTCTGCGGGAGTCTGACCAGTTCTATCGAGCGATGACGAGGCCCTCATCCCGGCGACCATCGTCTTGTTTGTTGAGCGTTAACCGTGTTCGGGCTCGCGACCCAAAGGGGCTGAGGACTGGAGGTGTGCCGAGAGGGCGTATGCGATGCTGACGAGGCTTTCTCGTATCGACGAGTCAACACTGAGGCGGTCCGATGCAAAAATACCAACCGATGTGGCACGGCAGGCCCTCCGCGCGCGACCTCGTACTCAGCCGGCTCCCTTGCTCATGCACTTCAGCTCAGCTTAGCACACCTCTATTATCCATGGTTATGTTCGCAGTGTTCTAAAGCGTCGACAGATTCACAAGTCACGATAAGATTATTTCCGGTGTTCATGGACAAGGTGTCGGGTCGCATCAACGGTGACCTTACACCCACGTCAACCACAACGACAACGTGGTACGCACGCGAAAGCGCTCCGCCAGGCTGGTCCTTGTCATAATTACCGACATATCCCTCCCTCTATCGGGCTCCGAACGTCTTTGTTTTCTTCTGTCTGCCGATAAACAGATAACGCAGCTGTGACGCTTCCACCGACGTCACACGATCACAACGAGAACTCCCATCGTATGCGCCTGAAGACATTGCGCTCGAGATCTGCCTCCCCGATTTTGTGCCATCAACAAGAGAACCGATTCTCCACGGTGAGGCACCTCATTCGCTGGCACACTAACACGCATCCAATACGAGTCGAGGCGACTGTCAACCAGCCCTGCGCTATCGATATAGCCTATCGATAGGAAGGAGGTTCCTGCATAAGCGCTGCTGGTCTTGCGCAGCCTAACGCATGCGCTCTGCGCCCGGTGTGTCAAACTTCATCTCCCAACAGTTGGGCATGACATGTGTCTACGTTTGCCATTGTTTGTCGTTCTGAAAACCTTGAGGCTGGGAATAAGGACGAGGTTGCGATACTATAGCTCGTCGCGAGGTCGCGAGTACACGTAATGATCTCCACTCCGTCCGACAGTTCTGGATCGTGGGCACGGTTCGGCATCGGAAGCAACGACCCGGGCGTGGTGCGTGGGTGGCCTGGAATCGTCGGTCCAGAATCTCACAGTGCGCACGTGACGTCGGTAGATCGCAGAGCACACGGTCTTTGGCACAAACCTACGAGATGGACAAGCCGTGATGCAGGGCTTCTCTGCATCTGTACGATGGTAAGCCCCGAAGTGTTGTGAAACTGCGAGTCCCAGATCATCCAAGGTTGCTGGTCGGCTAGGATGCACTGCCCTGCAGGTGACGTACAGTGTCGATCGTCAGGCACCTTTACCGGTATGGTAACTTAGCCTCTTTGGAATTCCAAGGACTGGGACCGATCGCATCATGTCCCTCCGAGATGGCAATCGAACATGTGGTTCACTATCGCAAGGTGTTTCAAGACAAACAGCGGTTCGCCGAAAGCCAGTGAGTTCCGAAACGCTGGTGGCAACAGTTCGTTGCGCACACTGATAAGTCGGTTGCCTTTGGGTTTCTCGGGTTGATGTTGTCGTGGTGAAACGTCGGCGTGAAGACCCTGGAAGCTTGACGATGGGTGGCAAACTTTCACGCAGTTGTGTGGAAGGGACGTATGGATGTAGACACGTGCAAGACTTTTGCTGCTTCCGAAGAAGTAAAGATATGGCTATTAAGATACAACGTATATCTACAGATACCCTCATCGTACGCAATAGTTCCCTTCTTTGCGTATAATTCCCTCCTTGCAAACCATATCACAGCCCATCTTCAGTGTCACAGCACACCCATCCGTACACCATGTATACTTTCCGCCAGGCAAGCAAGTAACCTCTCCCTCTTGATCACAGGCCAAGCAGTGTTCCCTCGCCCGTCCTGCAGGTTCCGCAACGGCGAAGAAGCGCGTCCAGTAGTTTATCCTCCTCTTAGTCGCCTTGCTCTCTTCGTCTCGTCCCGCAGAAGGTGTTGCGTTGTCCATACCTCTGAAATCTGATGCGTCGATGTACTTGCTCTTCAGAGTGAGGATGGCAGAATGCATAGCGCTGGTGTTGCTTGCCTTTGATGCTGTATCTCGAACTTTCACGGGTACCTTGGCTTCGGAAGCTTGGGCTGACTTGGCCTTGTAACGTGAGTGAGCTGATGTGGTGGAGGATGTAGAGAGAATTGCAGAAGCGGTGGTTATAGTACTTACGTTAGGTGGAGTTATCGATGCTGACGAAGTAGCTGAGCTATTGGTAGCTATCGCGCTCCTTGTAGGCCAGTAGAATTCGGAAGTCTCTGACCCATAGGTAACCGGTATTGCCAATGGTGTCGCTGGTCTTCCAGATGCGGTACTGCTCAATATCGAGAAAGTAGGGAGGCTTCCTGACGGTGTGCTCAAGGTTTCCCAGCGCGTTATCCAAGGTAACTCAGGTGTCCAAGGCAGATCGGTGCTGGAATTGCCAGGTACAATATGCGACATAGTGTGGGAGCAAGTAGTACTCTTCCCCATCGGATTCGTTGGGCTGGCAGATGTGGCAAGTGTGTCAGTCACCATCGTACTGCCCGCGCTTGGAAGAGAGCTAAAGGCCATGGAGGTCGGCAAAGGATCATATGTAAAAGACGGTAAGACGAGAGAAGTGGTACCAGAAGGCCATATTGGAATACCGTCGATGATGCATGGTTCAGTCGGATGGGGGCATATCAGAGTAACAGCTGTGCTAGTGGGCTTACTATAGTCAGGTCCATCCGACGGTACCGTCACTGAGCCTGGTGATGGAGGGACGGCGAACCCGGAGGTATAGTTGCCAGTCTCACGAGGTGGCACGTAAGGTGAAGTGGTTGTGGTCGTTACAGTAGCCTTAACATGCGTGGTAGAACCGCCTGTTGGGGGCAGCTGATCGGTCGCCGTAGATGTTTGACTGTTGTTCTCATCATGGGAAGTTCCCAGAGCACAGCTCACGAGCAGTGCAATAAGGCCGAGATACATATTGCTAGTGGACATGATAGCGGCGCTAATATACTTGCAAAATGGTAAGAGGGTCGGTGCATGTCGCAAAGGAGAGGTGTCGGAGAGTCGTTATATCGCCAACAGATATCCACACTCGCTAAATGCATCACTGAGTTGTTCATCGACGTGTCAACATATCTTTTGTGGTCGAATATCGATACCGACAATCAGCAGTGAAGCGTCAAGGTTGTGAAAATTGGAAGCGTGCTCATTCAATCAGGATGTGCGCCATGTTCATCCCCGTTCATGTTCTGATCTCTGCCGCTTTTCTGAGTCGGTTCATGACCGCGGCGGCAATATCGTCACCTGTCTTATCGTCGATACCCTCCACATATATGACCTCGACGCCTTTCTTGTCGAGCTCTCTTAGTGCTGAAAATAGGCCTCTGGCAACATCCTCGGTCTTCGCACCAAGGTTGATCTCCCAAACCTGGACTGCCTCGGGCTTCACAATGTAGTGGTCGGCGTGCGGTATTTGATGCTGGGTGACAGATCGCAGAAGGTTTGAAAGGCGCGACGGCGAGTCGTTGGCGTCTAAAGAAGAGGCCGTGTCCGGTGAAGCGCAAATTCCTGGTCCATTCGTATCCGATGTCTTCACCTTCTCTGCGCCCAAACCCAACACTTTGTCCCAACTCTTCGTCCGAATGACACCAATGCGCCTCTTGCTCTTGAGCTCGTCCGATGTAGGTTGGCTCGCGCCTGTCTCGAACAGAAGAACCGATGCCTTGGGACTATAGTGTCTGTACTTCATCCCAGGGGCGCGCGGTTTACTCGAGTCTTCCGCTTGCTTATCCTTGTATCCGGCCACTACGTTCTCCCATCCTGGGCATTGCCGTAATTGTTCCACTGTCACACCACCCGGACGTAGTATCGCAGGTGGGCTTGAAAGTCCGTCTATGACTGTGCTTTCAACGCCTACTTCGCATGGTCCGCCGTCGATTATCAGGTTGAGTTTGCCGTTCAGGTCATCGTAAACGTGTTCCGCGGCTGTGGGTGAAGGTCGTGTGGACGCATTTGCGGATGGTGCGGCGAGTGGGCGACCGCATAGCCGTAACAAAGACAAGGCGATGATAGAACGCGGCATTCGTGCGCCAAAAGTGGGAAGACCTGCCGTGACCTCTGGTGCGAGGATCGAATTCTCGGAAGCTGGTAGGATGATGGTAAGCGGTCCAGGCCAGAATCGCTCAATCACCGGCCGGTAGATATCCGGTATGGGGTCCTTTCCATCATCTTTCCCGTCTCCTACGACGTCTAGCTTGCCCAAAAGTAGCGCTCGCAGCTGAGGTAAAGAGTGTATATGGACGATCAAAGGGTTGTCGGCTGGTCGTCCTTTGCTCGCGAAGATCTCCTTTACCGCCGCGCTTCTTGTCGCATCCGCGCCAAGTCCGTATACAGTCTCTGTTGGAAAAGCGACCGGAGTGTTCGTATTCACAAGCTCCTCCGCTGCTTGCTTTAGCGTTCCGGCATTAGCCTCACCCTCTGTATCGTCATATTCTATGTCCCATTCATCGATCAAGTCCTCCGACTTCTTGAATGTGATCTTCCCCAGTTTCTGAGGATCCACGCGTCTGACGCTAGTTTCAGGCATCGTTACGACGGAGGTATTGCACTTAGTTGGGGCGGTCGCAGTAATCGGCTCGTAGAGTTTGGCGGTGGGCGTGAAGGAGTTAATTGATCTTCTCAGCGTGGAAGTCGGGATGCGGCGGGGCTCCGATGCAGCGACTTGCACCAAATAACGTATGGAAGCGATATGGAGTGAATTATTCGTGGGTTTGACATTTGGTATGCGGGGATGGCGAGTGGGCATTAGAGTGATGACTGGTGAAAGCCAAAATTTCTCGGAACGTTGTGGGGCTCAGTTCCGATGGCACGCGACGTCATGCCAGCCCCGGGGGAGGGAACGCGCCTGACGCGCTCGAGACTTTCACAACGACAACACCAACCCAGCTGTGGTCAAATGGCAATACTTGACAGCCGACATGGTCTTTACTATCGTTCTTTCCCTCTGTGTGCCTTAACTACCAAAGGTGTTCGTCATCGAACCATAATTCTGACCTAGTTGCAGCCCTCTATTCTCACCAGAGCCAGAAAACGTAGTGGTATTCTGATGCGTCGCAGCAACAGCCTTTTGCAATACGCTTTGCATCTGTTTGTCATCCTCGCCTAAGGCGTCCTTCAACAGAGTCGAGAGCCCCGGCTCATCCGCCACAAGCTCCTCGACGTCTTCGTTGCACAACCGCTCCCTCTTCTCCCTGATACCGTTTGGGAAAGCGCATTCAAGATCGTTGACTAGGCTGGTAATAGACTCGACTAGATTAACGAATCCTTCGCGAGAGAACAGCGCCCATTTCGTCTTCGCGTACAAACCGTCCTTCGCCTTGGATGCTTTGTTCGTTCTCCCCAGAGCCAGCTTGTTCATCTTATCACACAACTTCCTCATGCGATCGCTAAGCTCAGGCTCTGATGATCTTCTCTCCAAACCTTTGGCCTTCTCCTCTGTTACCTGGAATAGCTTGATGATCTGTCCAAGCGTCCGTTGCGCGATCTCTTGCTCGCCCGGAGAGCAATGAAGAGGTGTCTCATCGTCCGTGTCTGTAACACCCACGGCACTGCCCCAATGAGAGAGCCGAATCTCGGATAGATGGAGCCTGATGCGGTATGTCTCGAAGTCTTGGCCGAAATCTTTGGCTACACGAACATACTGAAAGCATTCAAGGGCGTTGTTGAAGAGTGCAGCAATTCCAAGAGCACCAAGTGTGAGTCCAGCTGCTTCTGCCATCTTGGGATGTGCTAAAAGGATTGATAACGCAGGACGGCAAAGCTGTGATGCTTCTAGTTATAGATCTCAGCGGAGACCATCACATGGTTCTAGCAAACTGTATTATCATCACATGTTTACCATTGGTGGGTGGATTCTTCATTCAAGTAATACGCCTAGAAGAAAGAAACCATATCAGAACATACATTTGGGGTGTTTTGATCGAAAGAGACACGGCCAAAATGTTACTTCTTCACCTTGAGAGCCCAGTCATCGATGACCTGAACCACATCCGCATGGCCTCCTGCTTCAGCTCTCATGCGGGCGTTCTTGTCCCCCTTATCCTTGGTCTTGGGACTGGCTCCGTTCTGGAGGAGCAGCTCCACAATCTTTGCAAAGCCATTCTCAGCCGCGATGATGAGTGGTGTCTTCTTTTGTCCATTAGTACCATTGATCGCTACTCCTTTTGCGATAAGCAACTTCGCAGCCTGAAAGGAACCGTGTTTGGCCGCAACATGGAGAGACATGCTCATGTCAACATCTCGTTTCAGGAAAAGCTCGAGAAGGCTTACGTCGTCTTTCTCTGTAACAATGCGCAGCATTCTAGTCGTCGGTGTGGCACCTCTCTTCAGCAACATCTGCAGAGTCTCGTGACTATTGAGGTTCTTGGGGATGTGATACTTCTCTGTTTCACAGAGTATCTCCTCGCGTAGGAGTCCAAGGAATGGAAATTCAATCATTCTCCAGGGTAGTCCATCGTTGCCGAAGCGAACTACCAAGTCTGCGCTCGAACGGAAAAAATCTAATAAGGGCTCGACGATAGATGAAGATGCTTGAAAGCGCAGGGCAGAATACAGGAGCTTCTTTTCTCGCTCGCTTTGATGACCGAGCGTGCTGATTCTTGGTAGGAGAAATCGAATCACATCTTCATGGCCACGCATAATCGCTGCCTCCAAGCCGTAGTCCAGGTAAAGATGCAGGTCTTTGGTTCGGGTTAACAGGATCTCTACAAGCTGCATGCTGCCTCCAAAGCAGGCTGTAACGAAGGCAGGCGTAGGAACTCCCCAAAACTCATACAAGTCTGATGGTGGACTGAGTGCATTTGTGTCAGCTCCGGCATTTAGTAGCACATGCACAACGTCTTCAAGACCTTGACCACACGTATCCCAGAGTGCTGTTTCATCTTCGCTTTTTCCAGTCCGGAAATTGCGTGCTCTGACATTTGGGTTACCTCCATGATCAAGAAAATACTTGAGGACGCTGGCATGGCCCTCAGCGGCAGCGGAAAAGACTGATCTATCGTCCATGGTTACTTCCCGATCACACAGCCAAGTGATCGCGTCTTGATGACCACCCTCGGTAGCGTAATTTAGCGGTGATTCCTCTCGTAGATCTACGCGGTTCACGATATCGGAACGCGGTATACCTGGAACGGTAGAAAAGGACTCCATCCACGGCAGCACGCCTAGAGCTGCCGAAAGATGCATTGGAGGGATAGTTTGCTGCTTCTTGTGCCAGAAACCCTTTGCACCAGCGAACTTAGCAGGCATTTCCTGTTTCAATAAGGGAGTAATTCTCATTTGGAACGACCACCACCAGCCGGTATATGCCATACCGCCTGATTTGAAGAAAGTGTCGCCTCTGCTGTTTAAGAGATTCATAGCCAAGTCTTCTCCAAGGAGCCTTGCATGGTATGGCCAGTGAAGCGTGGCGTATGATAATAGAGGGAGGAGTGCATTTGTATGTTCATCATCACGGAACCAGTATTCGACTTCGGAAAGATTATGATGGAGATAATCTAGGCACGTGTGCGCGATTTCGAAGTGCACTGCATCTGCTTGACAGAAAAACGGCTGAATGTCAGCGTCGTCCGCCCCGCCCGACTCAAATAGATGTTCCTTCAGCGAGTAATGGACCAGGTCGACCGTTGGCGCATGAGTAGTATCGGTGGGGTATCTGATGATGAGCAAAGACCTACACCATGTGATACGATCACTGAGTCTTTGCTCTACTGATATGGTATCGGACCCATCGATGTCCAGCACCGCTGCTAGCTCAGCCAAGCTCATCGGTCTCATCGCTTGTGCTACCCAATGCAGCAGCTTGATACAATCTGAGCGATACTGCGGTTTTGAGTGTACTTGGTGAAGAAGTCGGTTGTAGAGCGGGCAAAGTCCGGTAGGAAACTCGGCTAGCGAACTCTCGATCTCCGTAGGCGTCTCCTTGACCGAAAGTTCGCCCATTACGCAACCAATCCAAAGGAACGAGTTGCCGGAGCGTGACCGCAGGCTTTCTTTGACTTGATTCTGGAGCGCTAGTGTGCAACCCGGCACCTGATCTGCCATATCAGCGACTCGCGCATCGATGAATCTGGTGATGCTCTCGTTGTAGCCCGGGTCTTGTATGGTATCTAGGTCGATTTTGGACGAAAATTTCATGCTTGCGATGTTCCGACTCGCAACGAGAATCCCCACATCTTTGCCGGAGCTGTTGGTATGAAGGTTGGACAACTTCTGTGCCAACCAACGAGCTGTTCCATCGTCGCACTCATCAAGCCCGTCGATCAGATACACCAGACCTTCAAGCTCCTGCTCGTGCAGTAGCTCGGTAACGATTCTCCAAAGGGCATCGCGCGACTGCATCGTAGCCTCAGCTCTTCGATCCTCCCGAACGTAGGGGTAGACCTTGCTGTGTAGACCTCGTTTTTGGTCGATAATTTGATGTATCAAGGTACGAAGTATTGCACATGCCGAATTGCGATTCGCATCCCGATGGTCGCAGAAGAAGTAAGCGAAGACTTCATTGCGAACATTGCATCGTTTCTCTAGCAAGGCCGTGATATGAACCGAAATCGTTGTTTTGCCTTTTCCAGGCCCACCTGCAATCCAGAGGGTCTTGGATGATGACCCATCCAACCAATCCGAGAAAGTGCAGTCTTGCCAGATCCAGTCGCATGTGTCAGAAACGGGGCTACCCTTAGTGTTCACAACATATTCGCGGTCGACGTCAGGGTCTGTCACCCAGAGCGCTTTGGTACACTTGTCGAATCGCTGCTCATCGGTATGGCATCCGGACTCATGGTTGATATTTCCGAAGTTCTGGCCTACCATGATACCATTATTGATATTGGCGATTAGGTTCGCAGTGTTTCGTACCGTCATGTCTGCCATGGTGGTGGGGCGATAGGCAAGATGTCCTCAGTGACGAGTCATCTTATCTTAAAGTCGCAGAGGACAGCAAACATAAGACCTTACACAAACCTCCTGTCCGTTTGCTAATTTAGAACCACGTATGTCAACATGGTGACATGTTGAATCATTCTAAGGGTGACTTTGCATGCTGCACTGAGCGGCCCAGACCGTAAACATCCTGGAGCCGTGCGACCTATGAAATTAAACGAAGGCCAGGGCATGAACATGTTTATGTAGTTGCAAACAGCAATATAACGATACATAATGTAAACAATAGTGTGTGGGAAATACACTTGCATTGCGATTATTTACCGTCTTACTCAGTCGCGTGGTGCCTGCGTTCTAAGACCAGCACATTCAACAAGCGAGAGTAGTTGCAAGTGGCGCATCAAAAGATGAGAGTCTACACCGATCGTGTCACACTCGCTCTTTCTGCTTGTTCTTTGCTGCCCAACAAACGGGCAGCAAGCCCCCGTCATCACTGATGCAGGTGGACCTCTGAGCACCTAGCTACTCAGCCATCTCCCCGTCAGACACCACTAAATTGAGTATATCAAGACCAGGAAGCTCCCAAATAATATCACTGAGTAAAGTCAAAAAACGTTTCCCAAAGGCTCGCATCACGAAAAGCCTTTCCGTGTCCTGTGAACATAAGAGAAGATTCGGCGAAGCTCCCGAGGTTCTTGGGCTAGTAGTACTGAGAAGATATGCGGGGATGGATTCATAGCCTCGGGAGTCTTACGGACGTACAGGCAACGGCGATAGACCGCATACACTGCCGAACGCTTGGTGCTGATGTCTCTTTGGGTGACTGTTATTAGGGACCGAACATCTTGCCAAGACTTAGTGCCGTTTACACTTTGTAGTATTTGAGATTGGTGGAGGATGCGTGGGTAGTGACGATTGAGTCTTCTAAGAGTAAGAGGCCTGTATGGTGGCGAGGCTGATGGCACTTGCAGGCCTTGCGCGTATCAAATTGCCCAGACTGTGGGTGTGGACGAACCTTCTCATCGCATAGTTTGCGCCTCGTGTTCTTGCCGGATGTTGCGAAGTTCGTCATCCTATGGAGAGACGAGGTTGAAAAAAGTGCTCCTCTACCTATGGAACTCGGTCGTATGGGAATGCCAGAATGACTGCACTGCGACGCGACAAACTTCCCCAAATGGACTGGTTATCGAGTGGTCGATGCAAGACAGCTCACTGATGAACTCATGGCTACTGGTGAGCAGTAAGCAAGACTACTGATTGGTGAGATCTTCTTCGGTAGTTGTTCGGCAACTGAGGGTTATCCGGTACACTTTCCCCTGAAAACTACCTAGGTAGATTACTAATTACTCATTATCTGGAGAAGACGGCGACGCCATGTAAGGGTCGCCGGCGCAGGGCGCTGCTGCTGGGACTGTCAACCAATAGCATGGTTCTCGTATGTCAGAAGTGCCAGTCGTGGATTTTCCCAAGCACCAGCCGGGCAATTTGATGGTCGATCTGTACCACGGAATGAACGAGACCCGGGGTAGTTTCCGCTAGCGTCGCGCTAAACAACGATTTCGTCGAGCTTATCTTTACACTTGCGCTGGCCGCCACGCCGCTCCGTCATCTTGATCAGATTCACACGGTGCCTTCCGTCTATAGCGCATGTTGCCAGTGGGTCAAACGGACTTGCGTCGTGGAGTCTGTTCACATCTTGACAGGCAGTTTGAGGAGTTCCACCGGGTCTGTCCGCCAAGTGCCACTTTTGGCGTGCCAACAATGAATGTTTTTTTTTTCACCAAAAAAAGAACCAAAGTCATCTCCAGGCTCCGGACAAGCGGACGGTAATAACAAAAAAGAAGTTGGCTAGGGGTATGTTGTGGATGTCATCCATCATCGCTGGGTTGCACCGCGCGGGAACTACCCGATGTAGCAAACTGAATTGTTTTCCATCGGATGATGCATCCTCCACTCCATTTCGTGTCAAGAAGACTTCTGTAATTCACGTCAAGAGAAATCGAAAGCTGTAGGAGACTGCTAGAGGATCTTCGCAACTTCACTCATACTCCCCGCAACAGTCATGACTCGCCGTGGTGCTACTCCAACTCGGATCTATCCCCAGTCGCCTCTCAAGAGAACACTGCAAATTCCCAGCACCTCCTTGTCTAAGGCCTTTTCACTACTACATCGGGCTGACTAGGCAAACAAGAGGGTCTCGAAGGGCACTCTGTCATTCCTGGACTTCTTTCGCAGCCAACTCAGGGTCTGACTATACTGCTGATCACGGAATGGCATCCGTTGTCCTTCAATAGCGCATTGCCGCTCGTAGCTCCAGTCTTGGCGACTATACCCCAGCCATGTGAGCCTTGCAGATCGACGTGGGCGATTACTGTCTTGGGACGGTTGTTCGACTACCCCGGACAATGGATTATGGTCGCCACCGCGACTGTTGGCTGCACACTGACAAAGTAGTCCATGTACTAGCGGATCAACCATGAGAAGATACTCGAATTCGTTCGAGACCGAAGACACCGGCTATGAGGAGCGTTGGGAGTGACCCTTAACTCCACAGTGGGGAACTTACGCTAGTCTGCAGCCGTGGATGCAAAGAAATATAAGATAGACGAGATCTGCTCACTATCATCAGCATCTCTTCACCCTCCATCACTGCACTACACAATGTTTGCGAAGACATCTCTCGTCCTCCTTACTGGGCCAGCTCTGCTGGTCTCAGCTTTCCCCGAGATAGCTCGTATGGTCGCTGAGAAGCGCATCCAAGAGCGTCAAACAACGCCACAAATTGTCGAATTCCCAGAATACCCAGGCACACCCAACCACGCCCTTTTCAACCAATTCGACCCTGCCCTCCAACTAGTCAACACATCTGGCGAGCACGAGTGGCGCGCCCCAGGCAAAGGAGACATCCGCGGTCCTTGTGCCGGCCTCAACGCCGCCGCAAATCACGGCTACATCCAGCGCGACGGTGTTGTCGATGCAGCAAGCATCAACACCGGTCTTTGGCAAGCTTTCGGCCTCGACAAGACAGCCACCATCTTCCTCGAGACCGCAACGGCCTTCTTCAACGGCGACCCCATCTCCGGTCGCTGGAGCATCGGTCCCCATTCAGACAAGACTAGTTCTCTTCCTCCACTGGTCGGTGATCTCCTTGGCAACGAAACAGGAATCTGCGCATACGGCCATCTAAGAAGTGAGGGCGATGCCAGTATCACCCGTGGCGATTGGCTAGCACCTGAGATGAACTCCAACTGCCGCTCCTACCCGCAATACATGCAAGAGCTCTTCGACCTTTCCAACCAGCGCGCAGGAGGTCTGATTACGCCCCGAGTCCTCGCCGAGCACTCCAACAACCGCAAAAAGCACAGCATCGCTACAAACCCATTCTACTTCAGTCCCGCGTACGCTGGTGTTGCATTCACCTTTGGCGCACACATGTTCGCGTACCACTTGCTTGCGAACCACAGCGCTGAGGCTCCCCGTGGATTCCTGACGCAAGATGTATTCATGGACTTCTTCAGCTACAAGCGCGATGCCAGCGGTGCGTTGACGTACAAGTACGGCTATGAGCGCATCCCAGACAACTGGTACAAGCGCCACCCGCTCGACCCATGGACGCTTGCAGACATTGGTGTCTCGACCGCACAGCAATGTGCCGCGTACCCGTTGAACTGCCAGGTCGGTGGCAACACGGGCGCCGTCAACAGTTTCTCGGGCGTCAACCTAGGTGACATTACTGGCGGCTTCATCAACTTCGCAGAGGACTTGAACGACCCCAAGAAGATGGGCTGCTTCATCGCGCAGGCTGTGCAGGCGGATACCCCGTCTTTCTTGAGCAAGCTTCTTGGAGGTGCTGCTCTGACTGCTGCTTTGGCTGCTGTTGACAGTCGTCTTGGGCCGGCGCTGCAGCCGCTTAAGGATCTAGGCGGTGGATGCCAGGGCGTGCCGGCGGGCAGGAGTATGTTCGACTATGGCATCAACTTCCCCGGTGCCACTCTCGAGACCGAAGGCCCGAGGTCTGGACAATAGAATTGGTTTGTAGTGTCAGGTGTAAGTAGCTGATAGATAAAAGTATTAGCTGTATCGAAATACAAATTTTCTAGTTCTATAACTACTCTGAGTTATGCAAGTGATAACTGTGAGGCGTGATAGTGAGACTGCTTTTAGCACGGGAGTGGGCAGCATCTGCTTCCACGCTTCTTTTAATCTGTTGAGAACACTCGTCTCGCACAGCGGTTGAAGTGTCGAGAGACTGTATCGTGAAGTTACTCAAAAGTAAAATGCGGTCCTGTCTGAACAATGCTCCAGATCAGATCCGCGATACGTGCGCAGTTGACAGAAGATGTGAGCAGAAAGGAGGTATTGCGCCCACCAGAACTCGAGATTCCAGACCCACACTCTCCCCATTCCCATTGGCCCTCCGCAGCTCCTTTAACGGCCTAGCCCCGCACTAGCCCCAGCTAGTGCGGCGGCATCGCTGAACCCTGAATCCCCATCCCAACTTCCTCAAAACTCCCCTTCCGAGTCGTCCCACCCCTGCTATCGCCCTCCCATATCCAGCGATAGCAAAAGCTTTCCCCAATCATGCCTTCTGCAGCCGATATCCTCAGCGATCCTGAAATCGCGCAAGCATACGAAGACGTGCGCTCTGACAAATCCGAGACCACGTGGCTTATCTTGAAGGTACATGCGATAATGCGCCCGAAGGGTTTTGTTCAACAAGACGTGATCGAAGGCGTCAAGTAAAGAAAAAACGTGAGGGACCTGACTGCTGACTCTTTTCAGTATGCATCCGCAACCTCAGATAACCTCAAACTCGCCGGCACAGGCAGCGGCGACATTGCCGAGATGACGGAGAGTCTTGGTGACGACGAAGCAGCATACGCCTACGTGCGCATGAAGCTAGGAAACGACGAGTACAGCGAGCGCGTCAAGTTTGCTTTTGTTGTTTGGCAAGGTCTGTCATGTCCCCTGCCTCAATATCGACATTGCTG